ACACACACACACCGACACACACACACACCGATACACACACACACACCGATACACACACACACACCGATACACACACACACACACCGATACACACACACACACACCGACACACACACACACACACCGACACACACACACACACACACCGATACACACACACACACACCGATACACACACACACACCGATACACACACACACCGATACACACACACACACACACCGATACACACACACACACACACCGATACACACACACACACCGACACACACACACACACCGACACACACACACACACCGACACACACATACACACCGACACACACACCGATACACACACACACCGATACACACACACACACCGACACACACACACACACCGACACACACACACCGATACACACACACACACCGACACACACACACCGACACACACACACCGACACACACACACCGATACACACACACCAACACACACACACCGATACACACACACACTGATACACACACACACCGATACACACACACACACACACCGATACACACACACACCAACACACACACACACTCTGACACGCCTGAAGCTCACGACTATGAAGAAAACAACAAACTACGCTACACGCTACACTACTCGCTACACTACTCGGTACACTACTCGGTACACTACTCGCTACACTACACGCTACACTACACGCTACACTACACTACTCGCTACACTAAAGTCGTGAAGCAGGCCGGAACACCGAGGCGTCTATGAGCAGCGAGTCAGAGACCCACAGGATCTGTGGTTCTCTGTGTGAGTGGGTCTGTGGGTCTCTGTGTGAGTGGGTCTCTGTGTGAGTCTGTGGGTCTCTATGTGAGTCTGTGGGTCTCTGTGTGAGTGAGTCTGTGAGACTCTGTGTGAGTGAGTCTGTGGGTCTCTGTGTGAGTGGTGAGTCTGTGGGTCTCTGTGTGAGTGAGTCTGTGGGTCTCTGTGTGAGTGAGTCTGTGGGTCTCTGTGTGAGTGAGTCTGTGGGTCTCTGTGTGTGTGAGTCTATGGGTCTCTGTGTGGTGAGTCTATGGGTCTCTGTGTGAGTGAGTCTGTGGGTCTCTGTGTGAGTGAGTCTGTGGCTCTCTGTGTGAGTGAGTCTGTGGGTCTCTGTGTGAGTGAGTCTGTGGGTGTCTGTGTGAGTGAGTCTGTGGGTCTCTGTGTGAGTGAGTCTGTGGGTCTCTGTGTGAGTGGTGAGTCTGTGGGTCTCTGTCTGTGGCTCTCTGTGTGAGTGAGTCTGTGGGTCTCTGTGTGAGTGAGTCTGTGGGTCTCTGTGTGAGTGGTGAGTCTGTGGGTCTCTGTGTGAGTGGTGAGTCTGTGGGTCTCTGTGTGAGTGAGTCTGTGGGTCTCTGTGTGGTGAGTCTATGGGTCTCTGTGTGAGTGAGTCTGTGGGTCTCTGTGTGAGTGAGTCTGTGGCTCTCTGTGTGAGTGAGTCTGTGGGTCTCTGTGTGAGTGAGTCTGTGGGTCTCTGTGTGAGTGAGTCTGTGGCTCTCTGTGTGAGTGAGTCTGTGGGTCTCTGTGTGAGTGAGTCCATGGCTCTCTGTGTGAGCGAGTCTGTGGCTCTCTGTGTGAGTGAGTCTGTGGGTCTCTGTGTGAGTGAGTCTGTGGGTCTCTGTATGAGTGAGTCTGTGGGTCTCTGTGTGAGTGAGTCTGTGGCTCTCTGTGTGAGTGAGTCTGTGGGTCTCTGTGTGAGTGAGTCCGTGGCTCTCTGTGTGAGCGAGTCTGTGGCTCTCTGTGTGAGTGAGTCTGTGGGTCTCTGTGTGAGTGGTGAGTCTGTGGGTCTCTGTGTGAGTGAGTCTGTGGGTCTCTGTGTGAGTGAGTCTGTGTGTCTCTGTGTGAGTGAGTCTGTGTGTCTCTGTGTGGTGAGTCTGTGGGTCTCTGTGTGAGTGAGTGTGTAGGTCTCTGTGTTAGTGAGTCTGTGGGTCTCTGTGTTAGTGAGTCTGTGGGTCTCTGTGTGTAGGTCTCTGTGTGAGTGAGTCTGTGGGTCTCTGTGTGAGTGAGTCTGTGGGTCTCTGTGTGAGTGAGTCTGTGGGTCTCTGTGTGAGTGAGTCTGTGGGTCTCTGTGTGAGTGAGTCTGTGGGTCTCTGTGTGAGTGAGTCTGTGTGTCTCTGTGTGGTGAGTCTGTGGGTCTCTGTGTGAGTGAGTGTGTAGGTCTCTGTGTTAGTGAGTCTGTGGGTCTCTGTGTTAGTGAGTCTGTGGGTCTCTGTGTGTAGGTCTCTGTGTGAGTGAGTCTGTGGGTCTCTGTGTGAGTGAGTCTGTGGCTCTCTGTGTGAGTGAGTCTGTGGGTGTCTGTGTGAGTGAGTCTGTGGGTCTCTGTGTGAGTGAGTCTGTGGCTCTCTGTGTGAGTGGTGAGTCTGCGGCTCTCTGTGTGAGTCTGTCTCTTGCTTGTCATTAGCTGACCGTGACACCAACGATGATGGCGATGATGACGACGATGGCGATGGCTATGCAACCCGCCAGGAGGAGCTTCTTCTACGGGGCGGACGGGGAGGGGCACAGGTGTAGGGGGAATGTCAAGGAAGGTGGCTCGCATACACACACACACATACTTACTTACTCATTCATACATTCACTCACTCACACACTCACACATACACTCACACACACATACACTCACACACTCACACACTCACTCACACACTCACACACACTCACACACTCACTCATACACTCACTCACACACTCACACACACATACACTCACACACTCACACACTCACACACTCACTCACACACTCACACACTCATACATTCACTCACTCACACACTTACTCACTCACACACTCACACACTCATACATTCACTCACTCATACACTCACACACTCATACATTCACTCACTCACACACACATACACTCACACACTCACACACTCACTCATACACTCACTCATACACTCACACACACATACACTCACACACTCACACACACTCACACACTCACTCATACACTCACTCATACACTCACACACACATACACTCACACACTCACACACACTCACACACTCATTCATACATTCACTCACTCACACACTCACACATACACTCACACACACATACACTCACACACTCACACACACTCACTCACTCACACACTCATACATTCACTCACTCACACACTCATACATTCACTCACTCACTCATTCATACATTCACTCACTCACACACTCACTCACTCACACACTCACACACACATACACTCACACACTCACACACTCACACACTCACTCATACACTCACACACTCACTCACACACTCACACACACATACACTCACACACTCATACACTCACACACTCACTCATTCATACATTCACTCACTCACACACTCACTCATACATTCACTCACACACTCACTCATACATTCACTCACTCACACACTCATACACTCACTCACACATACTTACTTACTCACTCACACACTTACTCACTCACACACACACTCATTCATACATTCACTCACACACTCACTCACATACTCATACATTCACTCACTCACTCACACATACATTCACTCACACACTCACTCATACACTCACACACTCACTCATTCATACATTCACTCACTCACACACTCACTCATACACTCACACACACTCACACACTCATACACTCACACACACACACACATACACTCATACATACACACATACACTTACTCACTCATTCATACATTCACTCACTCACACACTCACTCACTCACTCACACACTCATACATTCACTCACTCACACACTCATACATTCACTCACTCACACACTCACACACTGACTCACTCATTCATACATTCACTCACTCACACACTCATACACTCACTCACTCATACATTCACTCACTCACACACTCACACACACACACTCATACATACATACACACATACACTTACTCACTCATTCATACATTCACTCACTCACACACTCACACATACACTCACACACACATACACTCACACACTCACACACACTCACACACTCACACACACTCACACACTCACACACTCACTCACACACTCACTCATACACTCACACACACACACTCACACACTCATACACTCACACACACACACATACACTCATACATACACACATACACTTACTCACTCACTCATTCATACATTCACTCACTCACACACTCACACACTCACTCACTCACTCACACACTCATACATTCACTCACTCACACACTCATACATTCACTCACTCACACACTCACACACTGACTCACTCATTCATACATTCACTCACTCACACACTCATACACTCACTCACTCATACATTCACTCACTCACACACTCATACACTCACTCACTCATACATTCACTCACACACTCACACATACATTCACTCACTCACACACTCATACACTCACTCACTCATTCATACATTCACTCACTCACTCACACACTCATACACTCACTCATACATTCACTCACTCACACACACACTCACTCACTCACACATTCACACACTCACACACTCACTCACACACTCATACATTCACTCACTCACTCACACATTCACTCACTCACACACTCACTCATACACTCACACATTCATACACTCGCTCACTCATACACTCACTCACTGACTCACTCATACACTCACTCACTCATACACTCACTCACACACTGAGTCACTCATACACTGACTCACTCATACAATCACTCATACACCGACTCACTCATACACTCACTCACTCATACACTGACTCACACACACACTGACTCACTCATACACTCACACACACATTGACTCACTCATACACTCACTCACACACTGACTCACTCATACACTCACTCACACACTGACTCACTCATAGACTCACTCACACACTGACTCACTCAAACACTCACTCACACACTGACTCACTCATAGACTCACTCACACACTGACTCACTCATACACTCACACACACACTGACTCACTCATAGACTCACTCACACACTGACTCACTCATAGACTCACTCACACACTGACTCACTCAAACACTCACTCACACACTGACTCACTCATACACTCACACACACACGGACTCACTCACACACTGACTCACTCAAACACACACACACTTACACACTCACGGTGCACATGGCCTGGCACAAGCGTTGTGGTGAAGTCGCCCACCACTTAGTGGTGAATGGCGGTTGTTGTTGTTGTGTGCGTGTAGGTGTGTGTGTGTGTGTGCGTGTGTGTTGGTGTGCGTGTAGGTTTATGTTTGTGCGTGTGTGTACGTGTACGTGTGTGTGTGTAGGTGTGTGTGTGTGTAGGTGTGTGTGTGTAGGTGTGTGCGTGTGTGTTGGTGTGTGCGTGTGTGTTGGTGTGCGTGTAGGTTTATGTTTGTGCGTGTGTGTACGTGTACGTGTGTGTGTGTAGGTGTGTGTGTGTGTAGGTGTGTGTGTGTAGGTGTGTGCGTGTGTGTTGGTGTGCGTGTAGGTTTGTGTTTGTGCGTGTGTGTACGTGTACGTGTGTGTGTGTAGGTGTGTGTGTGTGTAGGTGTGTGTGTGTAGGTGTGTGCGTGTGTAGGTGTGTGTGTGTGCGTGTATTGGTGTGTTTGTGTGTGTACGTGTGTAGGTGTAGGTGTGTAGGTGTGTGCATGCGTGTATAGGGTATTTGTGTGTGTACGTGTGTAGGTGTGTGTAGGTGTGTGTAGGCGTGTATAGGTGTGTTTGTGTGTGTACGTGTGTAGGTGTGTGCGTGTATAGGTGTGTTTGTGTGTGTAGCTGTGTGTAGGTGTGTGTAGGTGTGTGTAGGTGTGTGTACGTGTGTAGGTGTGTGCATGCGTGTATAGGTGTGTTTGTGTGTGTGTGTGTAGGTGTGTGTAGGTGTGTGTGCGTGTATAGGTGTGTGTAGGTGTGTGTGCGTGTATAGGTGTGTTTGTGTGTGTAGCTGTGTGTAGGTGTGTGTGTGTGTAGGAGTGTGTGTGTGTACGTGTGTAGGTGTGTGTGTGTGCGTGTGTAGGTGTGTGTGTGTGTAGGAGTGTGTGTGTGTGTAGGTGTGTGTACGTGTGTAGGTGTGTGTGTGCGTGTGTAGGTGTGTGTGTACGTGTGTAGGTGTGTGTGTGTGTAGGTGTGTGTGTAGGTGTTCGTGTGTAGGTGTGTGTGTGTACATGTGTGTGTGTGTAAAGGGCGGTCCTGCACAGATGCCATATTTTCTGTCCGTCTGCTACAGCAGAGGTGTAGGGAATTCCAACAAGACCTACATCTCTGCTTTATTGACCTGGTCAAGGCCTATGATACCATCAGTAGGCCTGGGCTCTGGGTCGTTCTTCGTGCTTTTGGAGTACCTGACCCTCTGCTCACGATCATTAAGGACCTTCATGATGGTGAGCGGGCCCGGGTAAAACTACGTGGCCGGGAGTCAGAGCCATTCCCTGTACACCTTGGGGTTCGACAGGGATGTCCTCTGGCTCCCACATTATTTAACATCTATTTTGACCACGTAGTTCGTGAAGCCTTCAATAGCTGTACCGGGGGAATCTCCATATGGTACAGATATAATGGGAGGCTAATCGATGCCCGGGTGCGGTCAAGGGATGGCTCTCTATTGCTCAACCACGTTATGTATGCTGATGACTTGGTAATAGCTGCTCAGTCAGAGGAGGAGTTGGAGACGCTGCTGCTGAGACTGGAGCGTGCCACTAAGAGGTGAGGCCTTACCATCAGCCCCACCAAAACTAAGCACCTGCCTGGGTATTTTGTGCCATCGGACACTCCACCCCCACAACTCCCAATCGGTGATGGGGCAGTTGTGGAGAGAGTGGAGAGTTTCCCATACCTGGGCAGTGTGCTTATGACTGGCTCCAGTTTAACAGCAGAGGTCTCACTCCGAATCAGTCGAGCGGCAATATCTTTTCATCGGTTGCGTAACGCTGTGTGGAAGCTACCTGGTCTGTCGCTCCGCACTAAGCTTCAGGTCTTCTCGGCCACGGTCATTCCCTCCCTTCTCTACGCTTGCGAAACGTGGACCCCCCTAATGGAACATCTTCGCCGGTTAGAAACATTTAGGCTGGCCTGCCTACGATCCATCCTGGGTTTAACCAGACTGGATTGTGTGAGGAGCTCACAAATCCTTGAAAGATCTGGGCAGGGTCCCATTGGTGAACTCCTCCGGCAGGCAAGGCTGCGATGGCTGGGTCATGTAGCCCGCATGCCCAGCCACCGCATGCCGAAACAGCTTTTGTTTGGCCGGATTGAGGGGGCTAAGCGGGCGCGGCACGGGCTAGAGAAGAGATGGAGTGATGTGGTACAGGAGGACATGGAGCTGAGTGGACTTGCCGATGACTGGTACCAGCGGTGTCAAGATCGGCCTCTGTGGAGGAGGCTCGTGAAGGATGCTACTGGGCAGTTGGAGGCAGTCGCCCTCCAACAACAACGGAGGGCGGAGGAGCGACGCTCACAACAGCGAGCGGAGCGCCGGGTGGCTAAAGCACAGCAGGTTGGCACAGTAGGGGGCACAGGTGGTGCATCAGCCAGTCATCT